GTGTTCAGAATGGTTTGATCCCTATCCAGCTGAATTCCTGAGATCAGACGAAATCCAGGTCTCCTACTCCTCTGCCATCTTGCTCTGCCCCCCAAAATCAATGCTGTTTTAATGCCTGTTAGCACATCCATTCTGCAGCCCATGGATCAAAGAGTCATTTTGACTTTCAAGTCTTATTATTTAAGAAATACATTACATAAGGCTATATTTGCCATAGATAGAGATTCCTCTAATGGATCTGGGCAAAGTAAACTGAAAACCTTTTGGAAAGAATTCATATCTCAATGTTGCTAAGAACATTCGTGATTTGTGGAAAGAGGTCAAAATAGTAACATTAATAGGAGTTTGGAAGAAGTTGACTCCAACGCTATTGGATGACTTTGAGGGGTTTGAGACTTCAGTGGAGGACATAACTGCAGATGTGGCGGAAAGAGCAAGAGAATTAGAGTTAGAAGTAGAACTTGAAGATATGACTAAACTGCTGCAATCTCATATAAAACTTTACCTTATGAGGAATTGCTTCTTATGGATGAACAAAGAAAGTGCTTTCTTGAGATGGAATCTACTCCTGGTAAAGAAGCTGTGAAGGTTATTGAAATGACAACAAAGGCTTAGAATATTACATAAACTTACTTGATAAAGCAGTGCAGGATATGAGAGGATTGACTCCAGTTTTGAAAGAAATTCTGCTGCAGGTAAAACGCTATCAAACAGCATCACATGCTACAGAGAAATTGTTCGTGAAAAGAAGAGTCCATTGATGTAGTGAACTTAATTGTTGTCTTATTTTAAGAAATTGCCACAGCCACCCTAACCTTCAGCAGCCACCACCCTGATCAGTAGGCAGCCATCAACAGAGGCAAGACCCTCTGCCAGCAAAAAGATTGTGACTCACTGAAAGCTCAAATGATGGTTAGCATTTTTCAGCAGTAAAGTACTTTTTAAAAATGTTTATTTAAATTCTAGTTAGTTAACATATAGTGTAATAGTAGCTTCAGGAGAGCAGTAAGGTATTTTTTTAAAGATTTTATTTATTTATTAAACCTCCCAAGCTCTTTAGTTAGGTATTTAAAAAATACCATATATAGAAACATACTCAGTTTGTTCAACAAATATTTACTAAACATCTACTAAATGTCAGGTACTATGTTGGGTCCTGGACATAAAAGGTGAATAAAATGAAACTCTTGCCCCACGGACCTCACTATAGTATAGGAGAGAGACAGATAGATAATGTGGTATTTGTCTCCTTTATTGGCTTTGTAGGCTTGCTTTCCTTTTTCAGTTCCTTGAATGTAAACTTTCTTTAGAGTTTTCATCTTTGGCCCTTTTCAGATCTTACACTTTTACTTCACATAACCTTATGTTTCAAATATTACGCGATTTCTAGTTCTATATCACTTCCCAGACCTTGCCTGAAATTATCACAAGCCAGGGATGTTAACTTATTTTTATAATAAGTAAAGTATTACTTAAACTTTTTTCCAACTTAAGTTTATATTCATATTTTCTGAAAATATCTTGGTGTTGATATAAAAATAGCTGAATATTTTGCTTTTAATAATATAAAGAAACCTATTTCATTATAATTGCTTTCTGAAATCACATTATAATTGCTGACTAAGTCCCCACTCTAGTCAATTTTTAAATCTTTATTTCCTTTAATGAGGATAAAACAAAAATGAAAGAAAAGGTTTCAGCCTAATGATATACACATACCTAGAAGAATATAAGTCAAAGACATATAACTATATAAAAACAACTTTTGTCTAAGTAGGGTTGGGGACCAAAGAGCCAGAACTGGGCATTTAATATTTCACTGGTTTTTGACTTAAAAAAAAAAAAAAGTTTTATTTATTTACCTAATCTCTACACCCCACATGGGGCTCAAACTCAAAATCCCAATTAAGAGTCACATGCTCCCCCGACTGAGCCAGCCAGGTGCCCCATAGGCCTTTTAACATAACTTATTATGTTTCTACCATTATTTTTAGTATTTTAATACTGAAAGAAGAGCACTATCATGTAGTAAAAAGAAGAATGTAAGTCTTAGCTTTAGTCCTATTCCTTTTCTGCTGCTCTGAGTCTGAGACTCCTTGCAGAAAAATTATGGTGTTGGTATAGATGCTCTCTAATGTTCATTGAAGTTTGAATATTTTATGATCCATGAATGAAGTCTTTTATTTGTAAAATCAATTCTTTTGTGTTTATCTGTATAACAAAAACAACTGAGAAACTATATTTTATTCAAATTGCACTTAAACTTCTATGCTGAATTTTTAGAAAAGAAAATGGTTGATTAAAAACTGAAAACACTGGAGAACACTACCTATCCATTGTCTTTCTACAGGCTGGTCTCCATGTGCTTTTAACCTAAGAGCTTATATGCTTCTCACTGAAAACAGGAAGATGGATGAAGCAGAAATCCCAGAGGTCAGACTGGTTGCTCAGTGATCAATGGATAAATTAATATGGTTTTGACATTTTACATTTAAAAAGATGTTTTCCACAAAGGAAAACATGGTTACAAGACACATTTATTATCTCTCATAAAAAGGACAACAGGACATCAGGCAGACATAGAGTTAACTATTTTCCTCACTCGGTGCTGATAACCCTTTCTTTCTTTTTTCTGCAAGACTTATTTTATTTAAGTCTTTTTTTTTTTAAAGATTTTATTTATTTATTCAACAGAGAGAGTGAGAGAGTACAAGCAGGGAGGAGTAGTAGAGGGAGAGAGAGAAGCAGGCCTCCTGCTGAGTAGGGAGCCCGACGTGGGGCTCGATTCCAAGACCCCGAGATCATGACCCGAGCCGAAGGCAGACACTCAACCATCTGAGCCACCCAGGCACCTCCTTTTTTAAAAAAAAGATTTATTTAGGGCGCCTGGGTGGCTCAGTTGGTTAAGCGACTGCCTTCAGCTCAGGTCATGATCCCAGGGTCCTGGGA